TTGTGACATCATACTTTTTTATAGGAACTTTAATTCTTTTTTTTTTTTTAAGATTTTATTTATTTATTTGACAGAGAGAGACAAAGTGAAAGCAGGAACACAAGCAGGGGGAGTGGGAGAGGGAGAAGCAGCCTTCCCACGGAGCAGGAAGCCCGATGTGGGGCTCAATCCCAGGACCCTAGGATCATGACCTGAGCCGAAGGCAGACGCTTGTAACAACTGAGCCATCCAGGCACCCAGGAACTTTAATTCTTAACATCTAATCATAAGTAGCTCTGTTCTTTCTATCAAGGAATTGGTAATTTTACATACGCCACATATATGTTCTGTTTCAGATTTTCCTGAGCCTCCTGGTACCAGGTAGGACCACAACTGTTAACCCAAGGGACTGTGCAGAAATGAGCTTATTTTCCCTAATAGGAACTGTAGATTGCCTGTAGTTGAAACTAAGGAGGCAAATTTTGGTAGTCTGTGTTATACAATGAATTCAGACAGATATACTAAGAAGGGACTCTGTTTTAAGTGGGAAATCTGGGCTTCTCTTCAAAGCTAAATGAGGCTTGGTAATTCTAAGTGGGAGTGGGGGAAGACGTGGTTGCTGTTGAGAAACGGCCACAAAGCCTATGCCTGCTGCTGGGCTTTACTTTCAAGTCAGAAGGTGCTATGGAATCTTCTGTAAAATTAGATATGGACTCATTAGGTATTGATTTAAGCTTATGTTGACAGAAGTATTAAATTAGAAGTGTTAAATGGCAGAGTTAATACTTCAATGAGAAGGGCAGGCTGTGTGGAAAAACTATGCGGTGTAAAACATTTTCACCTCCTCGACTTTTTATTCATAGTCCTCCATCTTAGTCCACTAATCACACACAACCCCCCCCCCCCAGCATACTTGCCACCATAGATCATTAGAAAGTGACTCAACGTTTTAAGAAACCCTAAGAACTTACCTAACATAATGTTTGGTGGTATGGCTGAAATAAGTATTTGTGTTTGAAATAATAACTTCGAATCAGAAACGTTGTTAAATGTCTTTAGTGTTTAAGAAGTTACAAAACATACGGGGTGCCTGAGTGGCTCAGTCTGGTTAAGCATCTGCCTTCGGCTCAGGTCATGATCTTAGGGTCTTGGGATTGAGCCCCAAGTCGGGCTTCCTGCTCAGCGGGGAGTCTGCTTGTCCTTCTGCCTCTCCCCCCTGCTTGTGCTCTCTCTCTCTCAAATAAATAAATAAAATCTTTTTTTAAAAGTTTGAAAACATACATTTTAGAAATGACTCCATCATGCTCGCTTCAGTGGCACATATACTAAAATTAGAAATGACTCCATCAAAAAACAGTAATTTTTAAAAACAACAACAGCAACCCTATTTCTTAAGATTTTTTTTTTTTTAAGTAATCTCTATACCCACCATGGGGCTCAGACTCACAACCCTGAGATCAAGGGTCACATGCTCTACTGACTGAGCCAGCCAGGTGCCCCAGCAACCCTAGTTCTTAAAGGTCTGACAGTTACTGAACTCCAGTGGAGTTGTAGGTGAAGCCTCCTACCACCCTACACCGTGACCCTGTAGGAGAACTACAGGCATTTCGATTTAGATAACTTAGAATTATCTATCAGAAGAGTAAAACAGGCAAGGGACAAACATCATCAGACCTTCCTACACAAAGTGATGGTTGCAGAGTTTGGCAGTGGGGTCACCATCCACAGTTGCCGTAAGTTTTGTTCATTATATTGGTCAGCAGGTGCCCCCACTATGGAAAGAAAAGCGGGCCTGCAGAGTAACCTCAGATGGGACACACCAAAAAGTTAGTGTTCAAAGCTGGGTTTACCTTTCTGGCACCTTTTTAGCACAGTTCATGCTACATTTGTTTGGCAAAGTTCTTGTATCCAGTTACATTAAATTTCCATTTGTGAATCTGAGTAGTCATTTACCCCTTTTCAGTATTTTTAATGTTATGTTAAAAGCATTGTCCTGCCTGGCAGCTGTTTTGAATGAGCAAATTTTGAAGTATTCCATCTTTTTGCTCAAATACCATCTTTTTTGTGAAGCTCTGCTGCTCATACAATTTCTCCTTTTCTGCTTTATTTTTCTCCATAGCACTTTCTTCTAACTTGCTTTACAGCTTCGTTTGTTTTTATACCTGTCTTAAACCACTCAAATGTTAGCTTCACAGGGGCAGAGCTTTGTCTGTGTCATTTATTCCTCTATGCGCACCACCTAGAACATAGTAGGCACTCAGTATTTATTGAATTTGCTGAAAAACTGTTGGCTTGATGCCATCATTCGGCTTTCAGTGTAATTTGGTGAGATCTCAGTACAACTTGGGAAATCTTAACAATCTGAAAGGGTATTTTGAGGACTGATTTAAAAGGTTGTATATACTAGTACTGATATTGAATTGTATACCAGAAAATGTGATAACATCTGAATGAAATAATGTAAGACCTTCAGGGGCACCTAACTGGCTCAGAGGAGTGTACGACTCTTGATCTCAGGGTCGTGAGTTCAAGCCCCACGTTGGGTGCAGGAATTACTTAAAGGAAAACAAGAGTGGTACTACAGATGACCCCCTCTGCCAGATCTAAAAGAGGGTCAACCCCAACCTTTCAAGATCACTGAGGGCTCCATATCGCCCAGAGGGAAGCACTGACCAAAATTTTATCATTCCCTGTTTTCCCTTTATAGTTTCACTGCATGTTTGATTTCCTAAACTAGATAGCGTTTTGTTTTGTTTTTTATTTTTTTATTTTTTAAATTTTTTAAAAGATTTTATTTATTTATTTGACAGAGAGAGACACAGCGAGAGAGGGAACACAAGCAGGGGGAGTGGGAGAGGGAGAAGCAGGCTTCCTGCGGAGCAGGGAGCCTGATGTGGGGCTCAATCCCAGGACCCTGGGATCATGACCTGAGCCGAAGGCACATGCTTAACGACTGAGCCACCCAGGCGCCCCTAGATAGTGTTTTTGAACTTTAGATATATATATCCTTTGAGACTTGCTTTCAGTCATGTGAGATTCTTGAAGTCCTCACCTGTGGCTGTGATGCATTTTCTAATTCATTCTGTAATGGACTGTTATTGGGCTTTGGGTTGTTAACACCCTGCCTCCCCCACCCCCATTGGAAAAACTGCTGTGAACATTCTTCTGCATTCTTCTGATACACACAGACAAACGAGTCCCCAGGGAATCTACTTAAGAGAGAAGTCGCAGAGTCCTAGGAATTGCACGGGTTTAACTTGAGTAGAATGTGAACAAAATTTTACAAGTTGTCGTACTGATGTATGCTCCCACTAGCAGAGTAGAAGTGTTTCTGTTGTATCTTCACTAGTGTATCCTCACTAGCACTGGAAATCATCAGATGTCTAGGGTTTTGCCAGACTGGTAGATGTAAAATGATAGCTTGTGATAGTTTTATTTGTACTTCTTTGATGACTGATGAGATTGAGCATATTTTCATATATTTCCTGGTCATTTGTGTTGGTGGTTCTTCCTCGTGCCCACTCAAGTCTTTGCCCATTTGCCCATTTTTCTATTAGATGTTGGGTATTTTCTTACTGATATGTCAGAGTTCTTAATGTGTTCTGAACCCCAAATTGTTGTTGTGTATGTTGCTCATGTCACCAGTTTCGGGGCCTTCTTGTCTTTCCATCACTATAGGGCATTAAAAGGTAAAGAAAAAAATCTTAATTTTAATGTAGTTAAACACATGGTTTGGACCGTGGGTGTGTTTTAAGAAATTGTTTCCTACTCTGAGCTCATAAAAATATTCCCCTATATTGTCTTCCAGGGATTTTTTTCTCCCCCACTTTCCTTTGGCATTTGTCTTTAAACCATCTAGAAATGATTTTTGTGTGTGGGATCTGTGGCAGAGATCCGATTTTATTTTCCCCACCTATGGATAATCACCTGTCCTGGCACCATTCATTGTCTCCCTTTCCCCACTGATCTCTAGGGACTTTGTTGTCATAAAATAGATTTCAACATGTGTGTATCTGTTTTGGGTTTTCTGTTCTGTTTCATTGGTCAGTTGATCTGTCTCCATGCCAATGGTATCCTGTCTTAATTACTGTAGTTTTATTATTTTTTTAATTTTTTAAGACTTTATTTGTGAGAGGGAGAGCACTGGAAAGCAAGCATGCACGGAGGAGGGGCAGAGGGGGAGGGAGAGGGACCAGCAGATTTCCTGAAGAGGAGGGAGCCCCATGTGGGGCTCTATCCCAGGACCTGAGATCATGACCTGAGCCAAAACCAAGAGTAAATCAACTGAGCCACCTAGGTGCCCCTAACTGTAGCTTTATAATAGTGCTTGATATGTTAAGTAAATCCCTCCATCTTATTTTTCTTCAGGAATATCTTGGTTATTCTTGGCCCTTTGCAACTTGCATAAAAATTTGAGTCAGCTTGTCATGTTCCACAAAAACTTCTTTTGTGATTTTGATTAGAATTGCATTGATTCCACCAATCGATTTGGGGAGAATTGACATTTCGTTTCATGAAGCTTCTCATTTGTAAACATATTTTTATTTTTGAAAGTCCTTTAAATGTCTTTGAGCATCTACACACATACATACGTGTGTATATATTTATTTATTTAAAGTTTTGTGTTTTTTTTAAGTGATGTCCACACCCATCATGGAGCTCAAGCCTACAACCCCGAGATCAGGAGTTGCATGCTCCACCCACTGAGCCAGCCAGGCATCCCTGAATATATGTTTACTTATTTGCTTCATAAAGGGCTGCCTATCTTTGGCTAGATTTATTCATAGGCATTTTTTTAATGCTGTTGCAAATGGCATAATTTTTTAAAGTTATTTTCATTAGGAATGTAAATCAGAGTAACATCCACCATATTGTTGGAAATTCTTGTGGTATTTGTTGTTTCTAGTCATTTTGGGAAGGAAATGTGGGGTTAAATGTATACCTTAAAAAATGTATAACAATGAGGTGGAGTGTGACCTGTTACATAGCTGCTAATTCATGATATTTCTTTTTTTTAATAGGTGTCAGCTGTGATGCATGTTTAAAAGGAAATTTCCGAGGTCGCAGATACAAGTGTTTAATTTGCTACGATTACGATCTTTGTGCATCTTGTTATGAAAGTGGTGCAACAACAACAAGGCATACAACTGACCACCCAATGCAGTGCATATTAACAAGAGTAGATTTTGGTATGTATTTAGTTCACATTTTAATGGGTTGTCGTTTAGAAGTTTGTGTGTGTGTGCGTGAAAAAGTAAAGGCAAATGTTCTAAGACTCTTGCCAATAGAATACATTAAAAGTAACATGAATCTTACTTTTATATTCTAAATAATTCTCTTAATCATAGCTTAATTGTTCATGAAAGCCATTCAGAGACCTATAAAACTGACAAGGTCTGAGACGGAAGAGTGCCTCAGTAAAGAAGGAGTAAAGTCAGTGGACTGTTCTTGCCAGCAGCACACAAATATTCTTGCTCCGGTTATCAGAAAGCAGATTGTTTCTGCAGGTGATTAGAAGACCTTGTTAAGCCATAAGAAAAGCTATAAATGTTTCATGCTGTAATTTCTTAGCTAGTCAGCACTTGTTATCTTTCTGTTTACAGCCATCATAGTTGCTGTGAAGTAGTATGTCATGGGGTTTTGATTCGCATTTCTCTGATGGCTAATGATAGTGACCATCTTTTCTAATGCTTAATGGCCATTTCTAGATCTGCATTGGAGAAATGTCTGTTCAGATCCTTTTTTAATTGGGCAGTATGTCTTTATTACTGAGTTTTAATAGTTCCTTGTATACTCTTTATACAAGTTCCTTATCAGGTGGATGATCTGCAGAAATTTTCTTGCGTTCCATGGGTTGTCTTTCCATTTTTTTTTTTTTTTTTTTTTTAACTAGGCTCCACGCCCACTGTGGAGCCTGATGTGGGGCTTGAACCTGGGGCCCTGAGATCAAGAGTTGGATACTTAACTGACTGAGCCACCAGGCACCCCCGTGTCTTCACTTTTTTGATGTGTGTTTCAAAGCACAGAAGTTTTAATTTTGATGATGTCCAGTTTATCTATTTTTTCATTTGTTATGCTTTTGGTGTCATATCTAAGAAACCATTGGCCAGTCTAAGATCATGAAGATTTAAAACTATGTTTTCTTCTAAGAGTTTTTTTATTGCATTAATTTTTGTATATGGAATGATGAGGTAGACCATTCTTTTGCATATGGATATCCAGTCATCCCAGTATCATTTGTTGAAAAAGACTATTCTTTATCCAACGAATTGCGTTGGCATTCTTGTTAAAAATCAGTTGACATGAAGTGAGGTTGGGGAGATGGGGCGATGTTGGTCAAAGGTTGGTCAAAGTTTCATTATGCAAGATGAATAAGCTCTAGAGAGCTGATATATATAGTATGGTGACCATAGTTAAACAATATTGTATAATTGAAATTTTTGGAGAGGATAGATCTTAAATCTTTTCAACACACACACACACAGGTGACTATGTAGAGGTGGTTGATATGTTAGCTTGATTGTGGTGATCTTTCACAGTGTGTACATGTATTTGTATACCATAAATATACACAATTTTTATATGTCTAAGATAGCTCAATAAAGCTATTAAAAAAGAAAAGTTGGTTGACCATGAATGTCTTTTCCTAGACTCAGTCTATTTCATTGATTTATTTATCTCTCTCTATGCCAGTACCACCCTGTCTTAATTACTGTAAACTTATAGTAAGCTTTGAAATTGACAAGCATGAGTCTTCCAGCTTTGGTTTTCTTTTGTTTTTCAAGATTGTTTTGGGTATTCTAGATCCCTTGAGTTTCTGTGAAAGAATTTTAGGATCAGCTCATCAAATTTCTGCAAAGAAGCCAACTGGGATTTTGATGGGGATTGTTTTGAATCTGTAGATCACTTTGGAGAGCAGTGGTATTAAGTTTGCCAATCCATAAACATGAGCTGTTCTTCCATTTATTTAGGTCATCTTTGATATTTTTCAATAAAGTTTTGTAGTTACCCACAGATAAGTTTTACACTTCTTTCATTAAATGTGTTCCTAAGTATTTTATTCTTTCTGTTACTGTAAGTGGATTTTTACAATTTTACTTTTGGATTGTTCACTGCAAGTGTATAGAAGAACAATTGGTTTTTGTATATAGATCTTGTGTCCTGTATTGTTTTTGTTGTTTATTCTATAAAGGTTTTTAGTGGATTTTTTTAGGATTTTCTCTTTTTAAAGATTTATGTATTTATTTTTTCAAAGATTTATATATTTTAAGAGAGAGAGAGTAGGGGGGTGGGCAGAGGGACAGAACCTTTGAGCACAGAGCCCGAAGCGGGGCTCAATCCCACGACCCATAAGATCATGACCTGAGCCAAAACTGAGAGTCAGATGCTTAACTGTGCCACGCAGGCACCGCTAGGATTTTCTATATGCAAGGTCATGTCATCTGCTAATAGAGATGGTTTTACTTCTTCCTTTCCATCTAGCTGCTTTTCATTTCATTTCCTTGTCTAATTACTAGACCCTCCAGTAAAATAATGAATAGAATTGTCGAGAGTTGGGGTGCATGGGTGGCTTAGTCGGTTGAGGTCCTGACTCTTGGTTTTGGCTCAGGTCATGGTCTTGGGATTCTGGGATCCAGCCCCACATCGGGCTCACAAGGAGTCTACTTGACATTCTCTCTCCCTTGGTCCCTCTTCCTGAGACCACTCTCTCTCTCTCAAATAATCTTTAAAATAATAATCTTTAGGGGATGCCTGGGTGGCTCAGTCGTTAAGCGTCTGCCTTCGGCTCAGGTCATGATCCCAGGGTCCTGGGGTCGAGCCTCGCATTGGGCTCCCTGCTCTGCGGGAAGCCTGCTTCTCCCTCTCCCACTCCCCCTGCTTGTGTTCCCTCTCTTGCTGTGTCTCTGTCAAATAGATAAATAAAATCTTTTTTAAAAATAAAAATAAATAGGGACACCTGGGTGGCTCAGTCGTTAGGCGTCTGCCTTCGGCTCGCCTTCGGCTCGGGTCATGATCCCGGGGTCCTGGGATCGGGCCCCACATCGGGCTCCTTGCTTGGCGGGAAGCCTGCTTCTCCCTCTCCCACTCCCCCTGCTTGTGTTCCCTCTCTCGCTGTCTCTCTCTCTGTCAAAAAATAAATTAAAATCTAAAATAAATAAATAAATAAAAATAAAAATAAAAATAAATAAAATAATCTTTTAAAAAGTGACATCTTTAAAAGAGTGGACATTTTTGTCTTGTTCCAAGTCTTGGGGGGAAGGCATCCAGTCTTTCACCAGTAAGTATGATGTTAGCTATGGGTTTTTTGTATATGTCCTTTATCAGGGGAACAAGTTTTATTCATTTTTATATATTTATCCCCACCTACCCCAAATCTACCTGGCAACTCTTATGCATATAATAAATGGGTAAATATTTTTAAGATAGTCTAAATCTTCCCAAAAATGAATGTGAACAAATCTCTCATGTAGTGAATACTGTTTCATTTTCTCTTCTCACAAAAATGATCATATCTTATTAAGGATTTGTGTCATGTTGAATATAGTTCTTTATAATGAAGGGACGTAACATACTAAATATACTTGCAATTGTATTTCCTTTTGTGCTAATGGAGAAAAATAGAACTTGAGATGTACTAATGAGGCAAACACATTATTTGCATAGAATATCACTAATTGGTCAGTTCTTCAGTAACCAGATTGGACAGAGTATGTTGTGGTAGTACTCCATTCAAGTTATCTTTTTTTTTTTTTTTAAAGATTTTATTTATTTATTTGAGACAGAGAGAATGAGAGACAGAGAGCATGAGGGGAGGAGGGTCAGAGGGAGAAGCAGACTCCCTGCCGAGCAGGGAGCCCGATGCGGGACTCGATCCCGGGACTCCAGGATCATGACCCGAGCCGAAGGCAGTCACTTAACCAACTGAGCCACCCAGGCGCCCTCAAGTTATCATTTTACAAGAGCTGAATGCTTAGGGTCCTTTCTGCTATAAGAAAGGTGTGTGCTTTAGACAAAAAGCTGCATCTGGGGGTTGGCATATTGATCACAGTCACCTACTCTGAGCACTTGTGTTCTTGTATTAGGATACACCCTGCTGATTATTTTTAATTTTTTTTTTTAAGATTTTATTTTTAAGTGATCTCTATACCCAACATGGGGCTTGAACTCACAACCCTGAAATCAAGAGTCACACACTCCACCAATTGAGCCACGAGGCGCCCCTCACCCTGCTAATTCTTTGTTTTGAGATTAGCGTTGCTACACATCCAGAGATAAAGAAAAAATAAATTACAATAAAATTAGAACTAGATGTGAAATGAGAGGTGTTTCAAAATTAAATGAAAGGGGCGGGGTGCCTGGCTGGCTCAGTCAGAGGGGCATGTAACTCTTGACCTCAGAGTCATGAGTTTGAGCCCCACCTTGGGTGTAGAGATTACTTAAAATCTTCCAAAAAAAAAAAAAAATTTTTTTTTTTTTTCAAAATTAAATGGAGATATAAAAAGTTATTTGCTTTGTTTTTCTCTTAAGGCAATAATAGCTATATGGGTAGAAAAGAAATTGTGGAGGGGTGTCACAGAGTCCCAGGGAGAATAAGGATGTTGCATACGTAAGCAGAGAGGTTCTTAAGCACTCCTTGACAGAGTGAGGTGGTTGGAGATTTCAGGCACACCTTTGTTTTACGTTATTGTACCCTCTGTTTACATTTTTATTTAGTAAAAAAACCAAAAAACCCCAGTAATTATTTCTCACTACAATTACACTTTATTTTTCAGATTTGTACTATGGTGGGGAAGCTTTCTCTGTAGAACAGCCGCAGTCTTTTACTTGTCCCTATTGTGGAAAAATGGGCTATACGGAGACATCTCTTCAAGAACATGTTACTTCTGAACATGCAGAAACATCAACAGAAGTGGTGAGTGAAGCAGCCTTGTGTCTAAAAGGATGTGTTAAAGTACATCATTTCTATAAAAATAAAGTAGGTCACTGTCCTCTATCTCCTGCTAAGTGGACTGATATTGTTGGCATAATAATTACTAAAATTATCTTTTAACAGCAAGTTTTCCACATCCTAGGAGGCTGTACGTGTGCAAGATAACACGCTTCATTTGTTCACACTAGCCTTTCTTACCCTGTTTCTGAAAGCACAGTGGAATCTTGACCAAATTCAGGAGCCCTTGGCAAATGCCCTGTGAACAGGGTAGAAGCACCCCAGCCTGCAGCACAGCTCTTTCTAGAGTATTCTTGCTACCTGCTTCATTTCTCTTCGACAGGGAAACCTTCGTAAGGAAATTTTTAAATCTTAAGTCATTAAGTACAGTAATCCATGGTCACATCTCATTGTAACAGATCACTTACTTGGTTTTCATCAGGTCAATGCTGCAAGGTCCCTAGAAATTCCTCTTACTTTAATCTTTCCCAGTGGCTAAAAGCCAAGGACCTAGAATAATGCACAAAAAAAATCTTGCTTTGAAAGCTTTTCGGATATTTTACTTGACATCTGAGCATATATTCAACTTTTTACCAAATGATAAAGCGCACCCAAAGGAGCCCCCCTGTCCCCCCTTTACCATTGGTAATAACAGATAAAGTGAGAGATGGGAGATAGAACTCTAGGTCTGGAATTTGGAGAATTTTGGCACAAGCAATCGCACATTGCATCAACTAATCAGCTCCTAAGTGTGCTCAAAACAAATTAGCTGAAACTCAAGAGAAATAGCGTGTCTGGGGATACATGACTACTAAGGGGCAGAGCCAGGTGTTTGAAGTCAGCCAGAGTCCCTCTGGGTTGTAGAGTCCCTACTTAACCACTGTCCTAGTTTATCTCTGCTGCAGCCCTGCTGTTACAGCTGTGCATAGTTCAGGTTCACTTCTATGCCCATTTACACTGCTTAGGTGGATGCTTAAAGTTGCCTAAGAGATTTATAGTTCAGACATTTGGTAAATTTACATTATGTTTGTCCTCCAGCCAGATTTTACTATCTAACAGCTCAGAACTGCTTTCGTCTCGCACCATCTTGCGGCCTCAGAATACTGTTGTCACATTTTACTACTCTTCTTAATCTGTTCTTCTTCTTCTGTAAAGGTGATTTTGCTTCCTTCAGGTACAGTCCCAGGTACCAGTCTGAGGAGTGTGGACTTGATTGCACTCTGTGGTGGTGGTTGTGGGAAATTTGGAATAATTCCTTTTTGACTTAATTTCTGTTCAGTTTGGATACTTTAGTTACCCAGAGAAGGGTTTCTCGACTGAACCAGGTATTCCTAAGATCATTCCTAGGCAGTAGGTCCTAGTATAGGACTTTCATCACCCCACCTGGACAGGACAGCTGCTCCATTTTTCACAACCGAAATGGACAAATCTAGCAGAAAGTTAAGTCCTTTCCATGAATGAAGAGCTAATTCTTTCAAATAAGAATCAGTAGCTCTGCCTCAGCAGCTTTGCCTTTATTTTTTTCCTGAGAGTAAATACTCAAAATTTGTTGACACTCCTCTATACCTGATCCACAGTGTGAAAATTAAACACTTGCCGCCCACAAATGGTTGCATGGTGTGTCTCTCGGAAGTCCTGCTCAGTATGTGCCTTTATGAAGCTCCCAGGCTTTCGGTACATGGCTCGAGACAGTGGCCTTGCTGCTTTTCGACTGGTACTAGTGGAGTGTTCTAGGGATTGCTGCCTCCTCATCAGCCCCTAGTCCGTATGAACACTGCATCTGCCCTGTGTGTCCACCCAGGCATTTCAAGTGAAAATGGCAAGCAAACAAGACCCTTTGATGTGAAGGACAGGGTTTTTTCTTCTTCAAATTATGTGAGTCATGTCCTCCTCAATCCCGGGCTGGCACTACGTGTGGCATCCTGAGTAGTGTCCGTGCCGCAGGGCTGGGGCCTATGCCACCCCAGTTATTCAGTACTTTGCCTCTCTGTACGTGTGGAGCATATTACCAGCTCTAATAACGTTACGGTTGCATGTAAATGTCCAGGTGAGGTTACTAGTCGACCCCTCTCACCCCACCCCCGCCGCAGTGTTGGGCCAAAGTCATGGTTAGTCAAACATGGAAAAGTTCTGGAGTTCAGGAGTGAGTCCTGTCATTTTGGTGGGGGACTGTATTCACATACCAGCTAATTGTCCCTCCTTTTCTCTTCCTGTTTGCCTTTTTCTTTCTGAATGCTCAGCGTGCTCTCTTGCTTTTGTCCCTGTGTTTCCTGCATGTGTCCTCTAGGCCAGCAGTTTGTATCTTCCTAGAGGCCTTAAGGATCTCACTCCTCTAACCAGCATCCATTTGGAACATTTAGGGGCAAGAGGCTCTGTCACTGTAGACGTCATTGTCACCACTAGAAAGCATTTACTGATACCTGACACAGCCGGCAAGAAGGTCTACTGAAGGTTAATTTTCAAAACAACTTTGTAGACAGCTTTGTAAACTTGTCTGTATTTTTCTGTTTCCTTTTTCAACTATAGGGACTCTAAGGCCCTAACCTAAGATTTGCCTCCCTTCTTAAGATTAATTTGTGATTACTCAAGAGACTTTTGATTATGCGGGTATGGAGGGGACCCTTCAAAGCCAGATACTGTACAGAATGCGTAGGGAAGGTGATGACTAGTTAAAAATGTAAGAAGCAGATTGGGTATAATCTCAGGAGTCTTTATGTGAACACCAAATATGATAAACAATGTGATTTTGAAATTAAGCACGAGTTCTTAAAATCCCTGAGAGTTGGTAGGTTGGGACAACTAACTGGAGTTTGGTTGTGGGAAGAATTGAGAGGAAGGAGCACAGTATGTAATTTTAAAATCCATCAATCTGGTATTGGAAGTGAGCAAATGGGATTACAAATACGGATTATTGAGGAAGTGTTAGGGTGGCGGAAGAAACATGGGAAGTAGAAAAACTTTTCTTTGGACATAAAAGGGCATTGAGAAGTGACTCCTGAAATTTTTCTTAAATCTTCCATTGGAGCTTGCACTGCAGCTAACTAGAAAGCCTTCAGGGATTTTGTTGTTGTTGTTAGATGAACCATGCTGCTACGTTTTATTAATAATATGTAGTTAATCTTCTTTCACTGCTTTGTTTAGTAAATCTCTTGTAATTTATCTGTAGAATATTATGCTTAAAAGGTTCACAGCACTTTTTGGTTTACCAACATTTTCTTCCCACTTCCAGAAATTACGAACAGAATTATTCTGTTCATAATTAACGGCAGGGGTCTAATAGGTCATTGCTGGGAAATTATTGCTTTCTGTTTTTCATTTGATGTATTTACTCATTTTCTTTACTCTCCGGAACGGGGGTTAGGGTAAGTGGCCAGCATTTAAGTGCTCTTCATTTATGTTAATGATATATTTCCCTCCCTTTTTAATGAAGACCTAGATGTGTTTATAACAGAATGAATTATATTTGAAGTAGCGTGGTTGTACCGTGTTCCATGTATAAGAAATAAAAAATCAAGGAGAAAGAATGATTTTTGGAAATTTCCCAGAGACTGACTTTTGATAATTTTATTTGAAATAATAACTCTTGGGGCGCCTGGCTGGCTCAGTTGGAAGAGCATGCGACTCTTGATCTCAGGATGGTGAGTTTGAAGCCCACGTTGGGTTGTAGAGATTACATACATATGTACATACATAAACTTTAAAAATAATAATTCTTAAGGAGAAAAATGACAGCATAAAAGGACCTTTAAGTTTTTTTAATGATTCAGAATAATTGGTTTAAGCTTATAATTTACTTAATATTTAAACAGTTGTTTGTCATAGAGCACAAAATAGAAATTATCATCGTTGTGGCAATCTGTGTATAAACAAATAGATGTGTTTGATCTCTAAATTAAACAAGCAGGAAAGTATTAGATCAAATCTGCAAACCAGATTAACATTGATAGATATGATTTATGCATGGAGGCTTTGAGAAGTGACATATGTTTTAAATTGTCTGTAGGACTTTTAAGACTTGATCATCAATATATCTGGTTTTTTGTTTGTTTGTTTGTTTGTTTTTTTGAGACAGAGAGAATGAGAGACAGAGAGCATGAGAGGGAGGAGGGTCAGAGGGAGAAGCAGACTCCCTGCTGAGCAGGGAGCCCGATGTGGGACTCGATCCAGGGACTCCAGGATCATGACCTGAGCCGACGGCAATCGCTTAACCAAATGAGCCACCCAGGCGCCCTATCTGTTTTTTTTTTTTAAGATTTTATTTATTTATTAGAGAGAGAGAGAGACACAGTGAGAGAGGGAACACAAGCAGGGGGAGTAGGGAGAGGGAGAAGCAGGCTTTCCTCTGAGCAGGGAGCCCGATGTGGGCTCCATCCCAGGACTCTGGGATCATGACCTGAGCCAAAGGCAGACGCCTAACAACTGGGCCACCCAGGCTCCCCAATATGTCTGTGTTTCATTGAGAGACCATTTTATTTTATTTTTTAAAGATTTTACTTATTTGCGAGAATAGAGTGAGCAAGAGAGAGAACACAAGCTGGAGAGTGGAGTGCAGAGGGAGAGGGAGAAGCAGACTCCCTGCTGAGCAAGGAGCCCAATGCAGGTCTCAATCCCAGGACCCTGGGATCATGACCTGAGCCAAAAGTAGACGCTTAACTGACTGAGCCACCCAGGCACCCCAAAGACCATTTTAATATGTAGGTATATAGAACTAACTTCCCAACACATTTATTTCCTTATGAGGACCAATAATGGTGGAGTGAACCACAATTTTTACACATCTTCCAATTTAATTTTATAAACTTTCTTAAATACTATAATTCCCTATTTACCCTTTTAATCAGATAATCAGGAAAAGTAAGCATTTAAAGGCAAAATGTACATTAAAAGAAAAAAATAGGCTTTGACTTTTACTGCTTGCATTCTTCTTTATCAAAAAATGCAGTTGGATGCTGTCTGCTTTTCTGTGAACTAACAAGGGTATTTTA